AAAGAGCACACAGAAGGTCAGACAGTCAGCGAGGGGCTCTGACCCACCCCGAGCATCACCCCGGCTCCGCCAGGCAGGCGGGCATCTTCCGTGGCAAGAACCTCGGGGGAGGGCTTTTTGGGGAAATACTTTAAAGCACAGAGTTAAAGTTGAGATCATCGGTGATAAGGAGGCAGAGTCAGTCCCCGACCCAGTCCTGAAATTACAAAACAGAGTCTAAGGGGCTATAAATTCAGGGAAGAAAAATATTTAAGGGCGGCAGAAGGTCCAGGGCAGAATGTGCAGAAAAACAAGATGAATTGAGACATTCCATTTATCTGCCTGCGTATTTTATATTTTTCGCATATTTTTCTTCTGAACAGATATGGTCGTAACTGCTCAGAGTGAAGGGAAAATGAGGCAGGAAACTCCCCTGCGCACAAGGTAGCTGTGACGTGGGGGAGGGGCGATTATTAGGTGATGGGTGACCCTTCACGTGCGTTTGAAGACAGATAAGCTGTTTCTTCATCCCTAAAGCCTTTTAAAAAAAGAGACAATTTACTGTTTGACTTTGGGGATCATTAGAAAGCATTTGTATCTTCCAGCGTGATTGAAACACAAATATTTTAGCAAAAAAGTAAATATATAAAAGGAGAAGCTAGTCCTTTCTAAGTATCAACGTCAAGCTAAGGTAGAAATTAAATATATAAGAATTGCTAATTCATAAGAATGAGGAAAAAAAGGATAATTATGTCAGAGAAGATACCCCAATTATTGCATCAAATCATACTGCAAAATTTGAGGAAACAGAATGTTTATCTTTTATGACCGACTGAATGTACTTGTCCCCCAAATTCGTATGTTGAAGCCCTAGCCCCCAGTGGGATGGCATTTAGAGGCGGGGCCTTGGGGGACTAATTAGGGCAAGATGAGGTCCTGAGGGCAGGGCCCCCAGCGGGATTGGGAAGAGGTCATGTGGGCACACGTGGCTGTACTTACAGGCCAAGAATAACACCAACCCCACTGGCACCGCCATCTCTAAACTCCTGTGAATTAAACCACCCAGCCCATGGTGTTCTGCTACAGCTGCCCCCTTTGTACGCACAGAAGAGAAAGTGGGAAGAGCTGAGAGAGCACTTAGGACCAGAGGAAAGAGAGGCTTACCTCCTGCATCTTCTTATGACCAGGAGGGTAGCTGAGCGACCTACCCGAGGCTGTCTTCATCCATCTGGTCAGACACATTCACTGAGCACCCACTGTCTCGGGAGCCGTGCCGCCTGCTGTGGGGTGACAGGAAAACACGGGGCGCCCGCGCTGGGGAAGCTTTGTGTCTCGCTGGAGAAAACAAGCACACAGCAAGGGCGACCAAGCAGCCCCTGAAGAGGCCAGTGCCCGTGCAGTGGGGCCCAAAGAAGCAGAGTTTGGACTCCGTGTGGACAGCGCAGTTAGAGGTTTAACTGGGAGAAGGCTGTGCTGCGCTGGGCTGGGCTGGGCTGGGGGGCTGAGGAGGGAAGAGGAGGGGGACGGGGCAGCAGAGGGGAGGGGAACGCAGGGCTGAGCAGGTGCCTGGAGCTGGGGTGGGAGGGACGCTGAGTGGTCCCGGCGGGGTGGACCCAGGGGGTCCAGATCCCAGCCCATATGTGAGAGGGGGTGGGCCACCATCAGTAAGCAGTGTCACTAGCGCCCGCAGAGTTGGGGCAGGTGGGGGATGGGAGAGCTTCCAGGGGAAAGGGGGCGCAGGTGTGATGGAAGTCAGGGGGCGGGGGAAGCTGGCAGGGTTACTGCAAGTGGCGCTCTGATGAGATGGGTGAGGGCGCACTTGGGGGTCCTCAGCTGGTCCTGAGCTGGAAGCAGGGACAGAAAGTCGAGCAGGTGTCAGTCGTAGGGCAGTCCTGCCCGGCTGAGGGTGCCGATCGTTGCAGCTGTTCCTGTGCAGCTTCCTCGTAGACGGCCTATGCAGACTGCAAGCCGGCTTCCTGTGGGTCTGACTCACGGGATGTTTACTGCAGACGAGGGGAGGTGGCCGAGGCTGAGGCTCCAGCCCCGTGTTCACAGGAGGTCTGGCCGCTGACCGGTGTGTGCTTGGTCTCTCCGAAGCCAGGAGAACCAGCTAGACTTGTGTT